AGATCAGACACATTTAAAAGGGGCTCAGGAGCAGAGGGCCCTGCTAAGGGGCACCCCAGGGCAGGGCAGCCTGAGCCTCGAGCTCCCCCAGCCCGTATGGCCTGGGTGGCCTGTGGCCGCAGGCCCGTTCTGCAGCCACACCAGCTGGAAGGTGACTGTGTGTGTCCACAAGGATCACCTGGGGCGCTTGCTGAAGTGTAGATGCGGATTAAGCACGTCTCGGGTGGAACTGACCCGGTGGGTTGGCAGCCCCGGGCCAGGCGTCCCGCGTGCTCTCGCCATCCGCGCCCTGCCGCTGACCCAGAGTCACCCCCTGCGAGCAGACAGCCCGCCCCCCGCGGCGACACTCCCGAGCGGCCCACCTGCGGGGATGATGCCGATCCTGAGCGGGCTGGGGACCAGGGTCGCGCGCGGGTGGTTCTGGTCCACGCCTGCCTCCTGCTGCGTCCTCCCGATCAGGCCGTGCAGGACCTCGCTGAACATGCCGTCCCCGCCGACGCAGACGACGCTGTGGGAGGAGCACGGCGTCAGCGCCGCGCGCAGGCGCCCGCAGAGCCCGCCTCAGCCGCCACGGCCTGGCCGTCAGCGCGGCCCCGCTCGCCTGGCTCAGAAACCTCGGCAGCCTGGTTTTCATGTTTTTGGCTAATACCCGGGTCCCTCGCTGTTTGAAAGCTCGCTTTGCCTTTGCACTACTCTGCTTTTAAGAAGACCAGCTTTCAGTCTTTAGTCTGTTGGTAGGACCTGTTTTCACTCACCGAAAGAAAAAAAACAAAACTCACTGCTGTGGAGTCGCCCGACTCATAGCGACCCCTCCTTGGGTTTCTGAGGCAATATCTCTATGGAAGGAGATTGCCCAACCTTCCTTCCGAGGAGTGGCTGTTGGGTTTGAACCGCCAGCCTTCTGGTCAGCAGCCAAGTGCCTTAGGTGCTACGCCACCAGAGCTCCCAACCGAGAGAAAGCCTATGAGGAGTTTCGCTTTGGCGGGAAGTGAAACGTGTCAGCGTTTTGCCGTCGAAGGGCCACGTG